ATATTTTAAGAAGCTAAAAACATAACTTCATAATTTTAAGAACATATTTTTCTTCATTTACTAGAAGTAAAATTTGGATACAGTGGCAGAATTTCTTTTGTAATTGATTGTTAACGATAAAGTAGTGTTCTATTTCATGCTACATGTTTTGAGCTCTCTCCAAATCACACAAATTTCGCACAGTCTATAAGGATCTGTTGTGTAGTCATGCCTGTGTCCACACCCTCTACGGTTGATGTCATTCAGATCCCCCATCTTGAGGTTATCTTGAGATGATTTCGGGGCTTTAGTGTCCCCGCGGCCCGGTCCTCGACCAGGCCTCCACCCCCAGGAAGCAGCCCGTGACAGCTGACTAACACCCAGGTACCTATTTACTGCTAGGTAACAGGGGCATAGGGTGAAAGAAACTCTGCCCATTGTTTCTCGCCGGCGCCTGAGATCGAACCCAGGACCACAGGATCACAAGTCCAGCGTGCTGTCCGCTCGGCCGACCGGCTCCCCCTCCCATACACACTGAACTGTCAGAGATACATGTAGTCAAGCCGCACTTGAGCTGTGACAACAGGTGTTGTCACAGCTCTCATATTGCTTTTTATCCCGTACAAATTCTTTGACAAATTTTTCCTTGTGATAGATGATAGACATGCTAAGTCCTGTTTATCATTGTTCTACTTATATTTTAATTAACCCGTTTCCTTCGTACAGTGGGACTATGTTCTCTGGCTTTCGACTACTGAAACAACGTAATTAGTTCAACAAAATTGTTTTTGGGAAAGCTTGCCGGTACATCAGTAGTGAGGCGCAGAGCAAGTTTCGGAACTCTCCATGAAAATGTGTTCCGAAGATCTTATGTCTCTTACGGACAGTTTTGAAACTTAGTATTTAGGTGACGTGGCAGTGAAGGAGCCAGTTGGCGTGTTCCCTGTCACTGTGAAGATTTGGTGTAGTGCCAACTGATCAGGTCATACTTAAAGGTTCAGTGGCTCCTCGTACTGTAATGTTGGCTGATACAGTGGTACTTGTAGGCACAGTGGCTCCTTGTACTGTAATGTTGGCTGATACAGTGGTACTTGTAGGCACAGTGGCTCCTTGTACTGTAATGTTGGCTGATACAGTGGTACTTGTAGGCACAGTGGCTCCTTGTACTGTAATGTTGGCTGACAGTGTTACTTGTTGCTTAAAGAACTAATAAGAAAGAAATGTGTTCTTCAACCATCCGAACTCGGGGGAAGATATATTCTCACTTATGTGTCTGTCTCACCTTTCTAGCTCTCATCTATTTCCTCCTCTCTCTCTTGCTATTTCTTTCTCTCCCTACTTCTGTCTCTCTCTCCCCCCTTCCCCCTACCTTCCGTCTCTTTCTCCTTCTCTTTCCATCTACCTCTCTTCATCCTTGAGTCTCTCTCTCTCTCTCGCCTCCTTCCGCCTTTCTCTCCCTTTCCTTCTGTCTCTCTCGATCTCCCCCTCATCCTTCCGTCTCTGTCACTCCTCCCTCCGTCCAATTCCCAACCACCGCCTCATTTTACAAACGTAACGAGAGCGTCGACACCCTACTAGACGTGTCCTGAGGGTGTATTCAAGCCGACTTAAATATGCCACTACGACGGTCATTCAGACGCCTTCTCCAGCTCCGGTCTGCGAGATAACCAGCTGGGGATGGTGGCCGCAGCGCCATCTGTATCGATCTCACCACCGGTTTTCTGCAGTTATCCCTCGAACACCCAAATTTTGGGTTTCTCTATACATTATGGTTACTTTAGTTATTAACTGAAATGGAACCTATTGTGAGAAAGACAATAGAAAACGGATACTGAAACAAATTTGAAGGTATTGTAAAACGTCTATGATAGCTCTGTATTGAAACATTTGTGGCAGCTCTATAGTGAAACACCTCTAGCAGCCCTATAGTAAAACATGTGTGACAGCTCTATAGTAAAATCTGTGGCAGCATTATGGTAAAACACCTGTTGAAGCCCTAAAGTAAAACACCTAAGGCAGCCTTACTGTGAAATACCTGTAGCAGCACTACAGTAAAACACCCGTGGTAGGTCTATAGTGAAGCTCTCGTGACATCCCTATATAAAAGCACATTTGGCAACACTGTAGTGAAACACCTATTGCACCCTGTTTCGAGCTTATATGTTGATATTGTTGCAGCTATAATATATAAGAGAGAGTGTATTTGTCTGTCTGTCTCACCCAAAGTGGCAGACGGAATGGTATGGGGTTTGGGATGAACATAGGTTAATTGGATTCGCCACAATTCAAGAAAGAACAGCGTGCCAGTGACATACTGACCCCTACGACGATTGACAACTGTCTAACCCTATAAATATTTTGAAAACAAGGACCTCAAATAATTTTCTTATAGTAATATGCAACATTATTCATTGATGCCAGGAAAATTAACACGTTATTTCTGACAGTAATATTTCAGCTATAGCCTCAAAGCACGCAACTGGCTTTCATAAATTTATCATCTAAATATAGCGACAAGTCTGGAACTATGAAGCTTGCACAAATAAAGACAGCAAGTGTATTACATCAATAATCTCACAATTAATTTGCTGGTCCACAGCTACACATCCAATATCCTGGCTGGCGGCGTCCGGCAAGTCTACTACAGTCTACATATATGCCCTTATCTTGAGGTTATCTTGAGATGATTTCGGGGCTTTTTAGTGTCCCCGCGGCCCGGTCCTCGACCAGGCCTCCACCCCCAGGAAGCAGCCCGTGACAGCTGACTAACACCCAGGTACCTATTTTACTGCTAGGTAACAGGGGCATAGGGTGAAAGAAACTCTGCCCATTGTTTCTCGCCGGCGCCTGGGATCGAACCCAGGACCACAGGATCACAAATCCAGCGTGCTGTCCGCTCGGCCGACCGGCTCCCCCCGGATTTTCCGGCCCTGCACAGTGATCCCAGCGGCACTCCACCATAAGCCATTTGAGGGGACGCGCGCACCTTCTATTTCCTTCTGGCGGTGACGTCCGTAGGGAGGTTGAGGTGCACCTACACTAGTCACTGGGTACTACTATACATGTTAATGATGTCACTACATTGTAGCTCACTTGCACAGAGACAAATAACGTGCTAATGGACCATACCTCGCAACCCTTTCTCGCAAATTCGTAAAGTCAATATTGACTTATTAACTATGTGCATAGGTGACATACTTAACATAATAGATACCCTTAAAAAGATTCATAGAAAACACCAACCTTACCTAACCTTGTTAGTATCTTAAGATAAGCATCTTATTGCTTCGTAATTACAATTATTACTTAACCTATACCTATTATAGGTTAGGTAATAATTGTAATTACGAAGCTATAAGATGCTTATCTTAAGATACTAACAAGGTTAGGTAAGGTCGGTGTTTTCTATGAATCTTTTTAAGGGTATCTATTATGTTAAGTATGTCACCTATGCACATATTTAATAAGTCAATATTGACTTATTAAATTTGCGAGAACGGGTTGACCTCGGGCACTTGCAGGTCTTTGATGCGCAGGTGTAGCTTCACCCCCACAGGTGTCATGCCACCAGTTCAAAACATCATCTACGTTAGCTTGCTATGTGCTTGAGAAGACTTGATCGCTGCCTACACCATCCATACTCTGTTCCAGCTCCAGTAATACCTGCTGCATGCCGCCATACCAAATGCTGTACACGAAATCCGGGAAATGTTCAGGACGATCAGAGAGCAGGGGCAAGATTCACGAAAGAACTTACGCAAGCACTTACGAACGTGTACATCTTTCCTCAATTTTTAACGGCTTTGGTTACATTTATTAAACAGTTTACAAGCATGAAAACTTGCCAATCAACTGTTGTTATTGTTATAAACAGCCTCCTGGTGCTTCGGAGCTCCTTAACTGTTTAATAATTGGAAATAAAGCCGCCAAAGATTGAGAAAAGATGTGCAGGTTCGTAACTGCTTGCGTAAGTGCTTTCGTGAATCTGGCCTCTGGACTGCTCTTCAAGGCTCCTCAAGTGCAAGTGGCTCTTGTCCAATCACGGTCGACCCTGCCTCAGCTAAACGCCTCCTAATTGGCTGGAGATGACGTCATTGGTGTGGCGTCACAGGATACTCGTGCCCTCACCTTCGGGAAGGTTCCAGGAACACCAACAACCAAACCAATCATGGAAAAGTAATAATTATATATAAATCATAGCAACACGATAAGCTCTACTAAAACAGATAATAACAAAGCAGTTTCTTTCACCCTGATGCTCCTGTTACCTAGCAGTAAAAAGGTACCTGGGAGTTAGACAGCTGTTACGGGCTGCTTCCTGTGTGTGTGTGTGTGTGTGTGTGTGTGTGTGTGTGTGTGTGTGTGTGTGTGTGTGTGTGTGTGAAAACAAAGTTAGTAGTGGTTAGTAACAGTTGATTGATTGACATTTGAGAGGCGGTCCAAAAGAACAGAGCTCAACCCCAGCAAGCACAACTAGGTGAACACACACACACACACACACACACACACACACACACACACACACACACACACACACACACACACACACACACACACACACACACACACACACACACACACACACACACACACGCGGGACCAAAGAGCCAAAGCTCAACCCCCGCAAGCACAATTAGGTGAGTACACACACTCGACCGCACAACCGACAAACTTCACCGTAATGTGAAGTGCCGCAGCGGATACTGGACCAGAATATACATACTGCGGAAGCTGTAGAAGACTAATTTAGTAAATACCAACCCAAGGGCCTCCTGGCTAGACGTAGCGCAGCGGCCCGGACGGGCAACGTCTCCCCGTCATGCCGAAGCCCTTTGCTTCCCGTAGGCGACACCTCGACCACAGTTAATTAGAGTATTAAGTGGCAGGCGGAGTGAGCTCGTTACCCTCCTCTCAGGCCGTGTTCTGCTAGCTAGAGTGTGGTCTTGACCGGGGCTCCATTACGTGCCCGGGCGCTGATGGGCGGTCGCTGCCTCTCACGTCGATCGTCACGGGGCTTGTACATGGACGGTTACGGGGGCGTTAACGGTGACAGTCAGAGGGGCTTTGACGTGGGCAATCAGAGGAGCTTTGACGTGTACAATCAGAGGGGCTTTGATGTGTACAATCAGAGGGGCTTTGACGTGTACAATCAGAGGGGATTTGACGTGTACAATCAGAGGAGCTTTGACGTGTACATTCAGAGGGGCTTTGACGGGGACAATCAGAGGGGCTTTGACGTGTACATTCAGAGGGGCTTTGACGTGTACATTCAGAGGGGCTTTGACGTGTACAATCAGAGGGGCTTTGACGTGTACAATCAGAGGGGCTTTGACGTGTACAATCAGAGGGGCTTTGATGTGTACAATCAGAGGGGCTTTGACGTGTACAATCAGAGGGGATTTGACGTGTACAATCAGAGGGGCTTTGACGTGTACAATCAGAGGGGCTTTGACGTGGACAATCAGAGGGGTTTTACCGTTTTATCAGAGAATCTTTGACGTGGACAGTCGAAGGCTTGGACGCGTGAGCCCCGACGGGCTTGACAGCACAGTGGACCTTAGCAGGCGAGCGCCCCTCCGCCAGACCTCTGCTGCCTCACAGTACAAACTAATACTTAAACAAATTGATCCCTACGCAATCTTATACAAATTAGAGCCCGCACCTCCCTTCTCCCTAATGTTATTACGCACCGAGTTTAATCACGTGGAAATGCATTCAGTTCACGGCCCGTGGCTTGTGTTGATTGTGTTTTGATTGTATGTTTCAGCGTCAATTGCGTTTAGCTTGTACGTGGTTTGCTAAAACTGTGGTTCAGGGCTTGTGGGTGACGTGTATCTTCGATGGTGTTTGTGTGTTTTGTATCTCATACATGGCTTGATACATACATGGCTTGATACATACATGGCTTTGGTTTGCCTGTTCCACTTGAATTACTACTTGGCTTTTTTTTGAGATATATACAAGAGTTGTTACATTCTTGTACAGCCACTAGTACGCGTAGCGTTTCGGGCAAGTCCTTAATCCTATGGTCCCTGGAATACGATCCCCTGCCGCGAAGAATCGTTTTTTCATCCAAGTACACATTTTACTGTTGCGTTAAACAGAGGCTACAGTTAAGGAATTGCGCCCAGTAAATCCTCCCCGGCCAGGATACGAACCCATGACATAGTGCTCGCGGAACGCCAGGCGAGTGTCTTACCACTACACCACGCTAAGGCTTCTTAGCTAAGTCTTCTTAGCTTCTGTTGCTAAGGCTTCTGTTGGTTAGTGACGAGTGACTCTTGGGGTGAGTTCCGCCTGTGTTCCGTTTGTTTCCTGTAGCTTACATATTAATGCCTGTGGTTTGTGTGTAGCTTGGTGTCTTGCAGTGTGTGTGTGTGTCTTTGTTTCTGCGGGTTGTGTCCTGCAGTGTGTGTGTCCTGCAGGGAGTGTGTGTATCCTGTGGGGTGTGTGTGTATCCTGTGTGGAGTGTGTGGGGTAAAGTGCGGTAAACGGATTAATGACGGGAATATGCGCCATGAAGGCCTTGTGTTATCATGTTAATGTTGGCGTATGGAGGAAAGGTTGGTCCAGCGGCCACTCTCCGGGTCTCCTCCAGTTCGGTGCACCTGTCACCAACCTGTCCTTAGACAAAGAACATCGCTTTTCGCTCGTATGCGTTACATAGGCCGTAAAATTGTCGTACTAGGAAATAGAAGCGGCTCGCGAAAGTGATGTAATGTTCCGTTTTCTGTTTTGGGTTCTCTGGGACGTTAGCATAACGGCACTTTAAATTTTCCGTTTTCTTGTCTGCGGGAAACCTTAGGAGGTGGGACTGGGACTCACCTAGTTGTACTCACCTAGTTGTGCTTGCGAGGGTTGAGTTCTGGCTCTTTGGTCCCGCCTCTCAACGGTCAATCAACTGGTGTACAGATTCCTGAGCCTACTGGGCTCTATCATATCTACATTTGAAACTGTATATGGAGTCAGCCTCCACCACATCACTGCCTAATGCATTCCATCTGTTAACTACTCTGACACTGAAAAAGTTCTTTCTAACGTCCCTGTGGCTCATGTGGGTACTCAGTTTCCACCTGTGTCCCCTTGTTCGCGTACCACCAGTGTTGAATAGTTTATCCTTGTCTACCCGGTCGATTCACCTGAGGATTTTGTAGGTCGTGATCATGTCTCCCCTTACTCTTTTGTCTTCCAGTTCGTAAGGTGCATTTCCCGCAGCTTTCCCCGTATCTCATGCCTCTTAGTTCTGGGACTAGTCTAGTGGCATATCTTTGAACTTTTTCCAGCTTCGTCTTGTGCTTGACAAGGTACGGGCTCCATGCTGGGGCCGCATACTCCTGGATTGGTCTTACATATGTGGTGTACAAGATTCTGAATGATTCCTTACACAGGTTCCTGAACGCCGTTCTGATGTTAGCCAGCCTCGCATATGCCGCAGACGTAATTCTTTTTATGTGGGCTTCAGGAGACAGGTTTGGTGTGATATCAACTCCTAGATCTTTCTCTCTGTCTGTTTCATTAAATACTTCATCTCCTATTCTGTATCCTGTGTCTGGCCTTCTGTTTCCACCGCCTAGTTTCATTACTTTGCATTTACTCGGGTTGAACTTTAGAAGCCATTTGTTGGACCATTCACTCAGTCTGTCTAGGTCCTCTTGTAGCCTCCTACTATCATCTTCTGTTTCAGTCCTCCTCATAATTTTTGCATCATGAGCAAACATTGAGAGAAACGAGTCTATACCCTCTGGAAGATAATTTACATATATCAGAAACAGTATAGGTCCAAGGACTGACCCCTGCGGGACTCCACTTGTAACGTCTCGCCAATCTGAGACCTCACCCCTCACACTGACTCGTTGTCTCCTGTTGCTTAGGTACTCCTTGAGTGTGTGTACTCACCTAGTTGTACTCACCTAGTTGTGCTTGCGGGGGTTGAGCTCTGGCTCTTTGGTCCCGCCTCTCAACCGTCAATCAACAGGTGTACAGGTTCCTGAGCCTATTGGGCTCTATCATATCTACACTTGAAACTGTGTATGGAGTCAGCCTCCACCACATTGCTTCCTAATGCATTCCATTTGTCAACCACTCTGACACTAAAAAAGTTCTTTCTAATATCTCTGTGGCTCATTTGGGCACTCAGTTTCCACCTGTGTCCCCTAGTGCGTGTGCCCCTTGTGTTAAATAGCCTATCTTTATCAACCCTGTCGATTCCCTTGAGAATCTTGAATGTGGTGATCATGTTCCCCCTAACTCTTCTGTATTCCAACGAAGTGAGGTTAAATTCCCGTAGTCTCTCCTCGTAGCTCATACCTCTCAGCTCGGGTACTAGTCTGGTGGTAAACCTTTGAACCTTTTCCAGTTTAGTCTTATGCTTGACTAGATATGGACTCCATGCTGGAGCCGCATACTCCAGGATTGGTCTGACATATGTGGTATATAATGTTCTGAAAGATTCCTTACACAAGTTTCTAAAGGCCGTTCTTATGTTAGCCAACCTGGCATATGCTGCTGATGTTATCCTCTTGATATGAGCTTCAGGGGACAGGTCTGGCGTGATATCAACCCCCAGGTCTTTCTCTCTCTCTGACTCTTGAAGCATTTCATCTCCCAAGTGATACCTAGTATCTGGTCTCCTGCTTCCTACTCCTATCTTCATTACATTACATTTGCTTGGGTTAAACTCTAACATCCATTTGTTCGACCATTCCTGCAGCTTGTCCAGGTCTTCTTGAAGCCTCAAGCTGTCCTCCTCTGTCTTAATGCTTCTCATAATTTTGGCGTCGTCAGCAAACATTGAGAGGAATGAGTCTATACCCTCTGGGAGATCATTTACGTATATCAGAAACAGGATAGGTCCAAGCACAGAGCCCTGTGGGACTCCACTGGTGACTTCCCGCCATTCTGAGGTCTCACCCCTCACTATAACTCTCTGCTTCCTATTGCTTAGGTACTCCCTTATCCACTGGAGCGCCCTACCAGTTACTCCTGCCTGTTTCTCCAGGCAGTGTGTGTGTGTGTGTGTGTGTGTGTGTGTGTGTGTGTGTGTGTGTGTGTGTGTGTGTGTGTGTGTGTGTGTGTGTGTGTGTGTGTGTGTGTGTGTGTGTGTGTGTGTGTGTGTGTGTGTGTGTGTGTGTGTGTGTGTGTGTGTGTGTGTGTGTGTGTGTGTGTGTGTGTGTGTGTGTGTGTGTGTGTGTGTGTGTGTGTGTGTGTGTGTGTGTGTGTGTGTGTGTGTGTGTGTGTGTGTGTGTGTGTGTGTGTGTGTGTGTGTGTGTGTGTGTGTGTGTGTGTGTGAGTGTGTGTGTGTGTGTGTGTGTTTGTGCGTGTGTGTACTCACCTAGTTGTGTTTGCGGGGGTTGAGCTCTGGCTCTTTGGTCCCGCCTCTCAACTGTCAATCGACTGGTGTACAGATTCCTGAGCCTACTGGGCTCTATCATATCTACACTTGAAACTGTGTATGGAGTCAGCCTTCACCACATCACTTCCTAGTGCATTCCATTTACTAACTACTCTGACACTGAAAAAGTTCTTTCTAATGGCTCTGTGGCTCATTTGGGCACTCGGCTCCCACCTATGTCCCTTTGTGCGAGTGCCACCCGTGTTAAATAATCCATCCTTGTCCACCCTGTCAATTCCCTTGAGAATTTTGTATGAGGTAATCATGTCTCCCCTAGCTCTTCTGTCTTCCAGCGACGTGAGGTGCAGTTCACGTAGTCTGTCTTCATAACTCATGCCTCTTAGTTCTGGGACTAACCTAGTGGCATACCTCTGAACTTTTTCCAGCGTCGTCTTGTGCTTGACAAGGTACGGACTCCATGCTGGGGCCGCATACTCCAAGATTGGCCTTACATATGTGGTATACAAGGTTCTGAAGGATTCCTTACACAGGTTCCTGAACGCTGTTCTGATGTTAGCCAGCTTCGCATATGCCGCTGATGTTATTCTTTTGATTTGGGCTTCAGGAGACAGGTTTGGCGTGATATCAACTCCCAGATCTTTCTCTCTGTCCGTTTCATGAATGACTTCATCTCCCATTCGGTATCCAGTGACTGGCCTCCTAGTTCCTCCTCCTAGTTTCATTACCTTACATTTACTTGTAAGACAGAGTGTGTGTGTGTGTGTGTGTGTGTGTGTGTGTGTGTGTGTGTGTGTGTGTGTGTGTGTGTGTGTGTGTGTGTGTGTGTGTGTGTGTGTGTGTGTGTGTGTGTGTGTGTACTCACCTAATTGTGCTTGCGGGGGTTGAGCTTTGGCTCTTTGGTCCCGCCTCTCAACTGTCAATCAACTGGTGTACAGATTCCTGAGCCTACTGGGCTCTATCATATCTACATTTGAAACTGTGTATGGAGTCAGCCTCCACCACATCACTTCCTAGTGCATTCCATTTATTAATGGAATGCACTATGTGTGTGAGTGTGTGTGTGTGTGTGTGTGTGTGTGTGTGTGTGTGTGTGTGTGTGTGTGTGTGTGTGTGTGTGTGTGTGTGTGTGTGTGTGTGTGTGTGTGT